ACATTTTGTTTGTACAAGGCCAATAACCAGAAAAATTGCAGACTATAAAACCAAACATTTTCAACTTATTGTCATCATGAGGGTTGATGATAACAATAAGTTAAAAACTTAGTTTTTAGCCTTGTATATTAATATAAAAAATTAGATTAAATTTGTCAGATTACTAACAAATTGCTAATTTTCTTTACCTGCAGCCTCTTTTATCAAACAGTAAGAGACAGGGTCAAAAAATATTTCAAGGAAACTGATCAGGTACAAATGAGAGTGATAAGCATGCAATAAACAAGAAACTTTGCAAAGTCTTGTCATTTACAAATAATTTTGTAGTTTCATTAATCCTGTTTGAAAATTGTATGTTATTAAAACCTGCAACTTCCGTAACAATATTGTGTTCAGTTTTGTGTATGATGTAAAATTATAGGTTAAGGTGGCTCAAAACAGTTTCCAGCAGTTACATTTGGATGGGTCATTATAACCTCTCTTTATCGCTGAATGTTACAATCATGGTATCAAAAAATTGCCCAATCATTGGTGAACATGTTGTTATCATATTCGTGACACAATAGGTTACCATAGCAATGGTCTGGGTTTAAACCAATATAAAATCGTGTGCCATGAAAAGTACAGAGCCCATGTGGCCTTGAACAAAACAAGAATGGGGCTATTTAAAAGACTAGCCATACAAAAAGCATGATATAGTTAAACCAGACGTTGTTGCAACATGTATACGTGAAAGGCTATTGTGAATGTTGTTTAAACTAGACAAGAAAGACTTCTTTAATGTTCTAATGCGTAACAATTCTATTGCGTTACGTTTAACAACAGTAAGCTAGTGACTGTACGTAAATAGCGTCACGCTCCATTAACTGCACTTTAACAATTGACTTTAAAGCTTTATATAATTATGCAATTCTCTTACTGTTGCTTCGTTAGCGCAAGCGAATAAGGCGCTGAAGGGGCCGGATTCAAGTTTGCTTTGTTGTGACACCAGTTTGATACAAGGTCGGTCAACTTTTTCTCTACTTCTTTCAAAAATCAAAACATCTATTTAAAAAAGCCGTGCTGTTGAAGCTGCTAAAAGTAACCGTTTAAATTCGCGCCCTGTCAAAATCCACCTTGGAAGGATTTGCTCCAAAAGATGGCACTCGGAGAACTGAGTTTTTTTGCATACGTTATTTCTCGAAAACGAAATGCAAATCAACAAAAACAATTGCGCAATGGTGCTTTTCATCTCAAAACAAGTCAGTCTGCCAAAATTAGCTCGATCCTGCAAAAAATAAAAATCGGCCCAAAATGCTATATACGCCCTTTTTGTATGAAAGCCTTCAATTAGCCTTAAATCTCAACAAAAATGCTGACATCAGCATTTTTCTGAAAAAAGAAGGAAAGGATATCTCTTCACAGATTTCCTTAGAATTTGCCTTTATATACAGAAAAGCAAACACATTAATTTTATAAAGATCTTAAAACTACATGGTAAATGAGCCTTCCTCTGGTTCAGTTAAAATACAGTCTAAATACCTTTTGCTCTCAACCGGAAACTAATCACATGTTGAATAGGCTTGCTACTTCCATTTCATAACAATAAATGTAGGGGTAAAGCCGCGTTTTTTAAAGTTTTTGATCTTTTTTGGAAACTTTTACGGTGTCCGTTACATTTTTTCCTGTCAACTACCCAGTAAGTAAAACATTTGCTTATCTCGCACTTGTTTTGCACGCGCACTACGCCATCTGCATCTACATGTTTACAGTTGGATTTAGTATAATTTTCGACAGATAACAGCTAGTTTTTCAGCTGGAAAATGTAACAGTTAGTGGTTAGCAAGATGCTTCTAGTCTAGTGTTTCCGGTTTAATTACAGGTTCATTAAACTTGATTTGGTCACTGCAGGGAAATATTTCTTTCATTTTAGTCGTGTCCTTGCAGGGCTCAAAGTTTATTTTTGGCTTTGGGAGCACTTGTGTGACCAGGTGTAAATTTTTAGGCGCACTGCCGAAATTTAGGCACAGAGTTAAAAATTTTAGGNAAAAATAAAAATCGGCCCAAAATGCTATATACGCCCTTTTTGTATGAAAGCCTTCAATTAGCCTTAAATCTCAACAAAAACGCTGACATCAGCATTTTTCTGAAAAAAGAAGGAAAGGATATCTCTTCTCAGATTTCCTTAGAATTCGCCTTTATATACAGAAAAGCAAACACATTACTTTTATAAAGATCTTAAAACTACATGGTAAATGAGCCTTCCTCTGGTTCAGTTAAAATACAGTCTAAATACCTTTTGCTCTCAACCAGAAACTAATCACATGTTGAATAGGCTTGCCACTTCCATTTCATAACAATAAATGTAGGGGTAAACACGCGTTTTTTAAAGTTTTTGATCATTTTTGAAAACTTTTACGGTATCCGTTACATTTTTTCCTGTCAACTCCCCAGTAAGTAAAACATTTGCTTATCTCGCACTTGTTTTGCACGCGTACTACGCCATCTGCAGGTACATGTTTACAGTTGGATTTAGTATAATTTTCGACAGATGACAGCTAGTTTTTCAGCTGGAAGATGTTAACAGTTAGTGGTTAGCAAGATGCTTCTAGTCTAGTGTTTCCGGTTTAAGTACAGGTTCATTAAACTTGATTTGGTTACTGCAGGGAAATATTTCTTTCATTTTAGTCATGTCCTTGCAGGGCTCAAAGTTTATTTTTGGCTTTGGGAGCACTTGTGTGACCAGGTGTAAATTTTTAGGCGCACTGCCGAAATTTAGGCGCAGAGTTAAAAATTTTAGGCATACAGCTTCAAATACTTGGAGCACCTCCTTGAAAAGAATACTTAACGCTCCAAAAAGATTGACTCAGGCTTCGTGTTGCAATATGGGCCTATTCTAGCAGTATTGGACACAACGAAAACAAATAAAAGAATCAGGATATTTCACACAAGGGTTATGCTTAGATATTAACTACTGACGTTGCTCCGTTGAGTATCCTCACTATCCAATTGCTTGTTGTTTGCCTCCCTTTGAAATTCTGTTCACGAAGATTCTTGATTTATTCAACATCTGGGTATTTGTGAGAACTAGCACGAACTTTGCTCATTTGGCTAGCTTTCAAGCCATAGAACTCGTGGACCGGCCCATTCCCAAAACGCTGGACATTTTTGTATGTCAGACAAGCGAAAACAAAGCTTTCTTTACAAAACACAGCATTCTGTAACTGTTCTTCGTGAAGAACGAGCACACGATTTAATTCTCATCCCCAGTTTCCACGCTTTCCACTAGATCATCGATTGCGCAAGAAGCATGTGCTTCATTTCTTCATTTTCATGTGTCAGTGGAGTTGTTTACAACACAGAACGTGGGGAAGAAATGAACGTTTGAGTTCAGAGAATCCACTAGGAAATTAGGCTTAAAGATGACAAATAGAACACACACCGATGAAAGGAAAATGGTCATATGCAACTTTATTATTTGGTGCCTGGTTGTGTTATATCTATGTTTATATGATATTTATCAATCTGAGTACGTTAGTATGGTCAGGTGAGTAAGTACTAGAGAAGTCGCACTGTACTTTGGCTTTGAAGGCGCGGTGATGCGACCATACATGATTTTTTAGGTGCACAGCCAAAAATCTAGTCGCATATGCGACCAGTTGGTCGTTAACTTTGAGCCCTGTCTTGGTAGCATAGTTGATTGCGTCAATGTCAACCCAGCGCATGCATGGCACTTAAACCATGCCTTGCGTGATGCACAGAACATGTGCGCACTAACAAAAGTAGGCACTGTCCTTAATAATCACAGCATTTGAAATATTTCATTTTTTAAAAAAAATTCATAAATTATGTAAATACATGTTGGTTCGAGGGACTTTTGTCATTGGAAATACTAATTATTGTTAGCTGCTAGTTATACCAAAACTAGTAGCAATGAAATAGGAGTGTAAGGTAGGAGTTAATTGATTATTACACATGTTAATTTAGTTATTTGTTTCATTTGCTTGTGCAAATAATGTAATTTTGTATAGTAAGTATGTAAGTGTCCATTGGATGTATATAATTTATCAATTTAAAAAAAAAATATTGTTAGCTGTAGTTTAATTCCTCCAAATAATTTCTTGCTTCTTTGGCAACAGACAAACTCTGGAATTAATATGACTCTCTTTATGTTCAGGAGTCATCATAGCTGTGAATTTACAAGAGAACAGAGTTTCCATTTCATTAAAACAATCAAGATTGCCCGATGAACATAAACACTTGCGCCTGGTAAATATATATTGATTTTGTTTCTTTATTGTAATAAGATTTATAGTACTAAGACATTAATTTATTGACAGTATTCTGATTATCTTTCATTTTTTGATGATACCAAGATTTGTTGTTTATAGTTTCACATGCATGGCATCATTGTACATTTTGTAGCTCTATTTTTAAGAGTAACTGATAAAGTAAACACAGTATTGTCAATATGCATCTTAACAAACTATTGCACTGCACTAAGGTTCACAGCGTGTTTAAGAGTATTTCAAAGTTACATGTAACTATACTCTTGCTGTTACATTAGAACCACCAGCCTTCTTGGGGTACTGCTTTATGAAACCTTTTTAGTTGTGAATGTAAATGAGCTTTGGATCATACATGTAAAGGAGTCTTTTACAGACCTTCATAATAATTGATAACATTGTTTTTCATGATGCATGTTGTTATCAAAAAAACTATGGGTCTTCTTAACTGCCTTAATTCATTGAAATAATCATACCAGTAATGTAATTAGGTCTGTAAACACGATAGGTGATCATTGTTGGTGTTTGAAGATTTTGAAATTGTTTATCATCTCACTGCATTTAGGGTGTCATCGAAGATCCAGATACAGTTTTCAAGCGGTATGTATGTTTCTCTAGAATAAAAACAATGTAAAGTTGGACCTGGTAATTTGAACTTGCTTATTTCTAATTCCCTTTTATATCAAACTCAAGACTGTTTCCCTTGGATTTACCCTTCAGTCATTTTATTGATATCGGCTATTTCAATCTCCTGCTATTTTAAACTATTTTTCATTTTCCCTAGGAGTTTAAAATAGTGGGGTTTAACTGTTTGAAAAGATGTGCCATTTGCATACACTGATTTGAGTTCTCAATGTAATCTGTAGTTTGTGGTGATGGGGGAGTGGTGGGCAGGCAGGGTCAGAAGTCCTATTCCCATACCCCTCCCTGCCAACTTCTTGGCTTAAGATAGAACAATAAATTAATTAAAACAACAATGACCTATGAAAAAATTATTTTTTTGTGAGTGCTACATGTAAGTGTGGATCAAGTTTTTTCCTATGTCTTGGACATTGGCATAGATTGTTTTCCACAGTCAAAATAGTTTTTTTCCATCTTATCCAATAGTTGCTTAGAAATTATTCCTCGTGACTAATGATTTATAAATGAAGGCTGCTTTTTGATTTGCCAGGTTACAGAGTAATCCAGAGGGACTTAGTTTTGAAGAACATCTAACCAAGCATAAAGGTTTTAACAACCCAAGGAGTATTGATACCCTTACAGACCTGCTTGGTGTGGACACTTCTGCTCCATGTTCATTGTTGAGAAGCTTCCAAAGGTATCATTGTGTCACTGAGTGTTGTTTTGGTTATTTCTTTGTGTAAGGCAGTGATTGTTACTAGATGCTTGCTGAAGTTGTAATACATTTTTTTTTCATTTTTGTGACATTTTTAAGTTGACTTTAAAGTCCTAACTAATATCATACATTTGACTTTTCACCAACCTTCTCCACCAGTATCAGCTTCTGTTACCTCAAGGTACAGTTAACCACTGTGTCTTGCTGTTTTATGGCTTGATTGCAAGTTATTGTACACTGATGTTTCTGTGTTCAGGTATGAATGTCCTGAAAGTGAATATGCAGAGCCATTAAGGAGACAACAGTCTGCCAAATGGTCAATGGAGACGTAAGAAAGAGCTTCAATAAATATTAAACCAGGTTTTTGATGCCGCCATCTTGGATTGTAATTAGATGCTTGATTGGTAGAGGGTTGGTGCAGAGGCAGGGTGGGGGTGGGGCACTTATTTTTCCTTCCCTCCCCCTCCCCCCTTGGCAAATTTTTCCTTGCCCCAATCCTCCACAGTTACCAAATCCAACATGGTGGCCTAATACGAAAATGTGCACTCGTGTGCCCAAAATACACCTGTACTGCATGTTAGTTATGCTGCCATCAAATAGTGTGAAATGGAAGATTATTGAAACTAAGTTTAAAAGCTTTGTAAGTCACTTATTTTCTTGTGGAAGGTCAACAAAAAGTTTGACATTAAACAGAGTATTTCAAATATAACTAACATGTTACCTTCTCTCAGGCAGGAATGTGGAGGAATATTTGACCCCTAACATGGTCTAAAAACTTTTAATCTTTTAGATCATTCTCAGGGTCAAATACGACAAATACTTTACATCTGATATGTACATTCAAAGTCAAATATATCATGTCCAGGGTCAAATATGTCATGTCAAGGGTCAAATATGTCATCTTCGTGGTCACATATATCATGTCCAGCGTCAAATATGTCATGTCCAGGGTCAAATATATCATGTTCAGGGTCAAATATATCATGTCCAGGGTCAAATATTTAAAAAGACATTCAATATGTCTGTTCAAAGTCAAATATATCATGTTCAGGTTCGAAATGCTTTCCTTGTATTTCCCTCTCAGAAATTTGGCCTCTCAGAAATTTCCCTCTCAGAAATTCTCAGAAATTTGCCCCTCAGGACAGATAATGTCTTTAAGGAAATATTAGTGCGTGTTTCTCTAGGTGGATATTCCTCAGTATGTCAGTTATTTTCCGTAAGTTCTCGTTTGTTTAAAGGCTNAGATAGCGGTAGGGTGGAGGACATGTAGGCAGTGATTAGAAACAACTTTTATTGGACAATACATTTTCTAAGCTTTGCATTGATACATAGTTTGTGGTGGTTGGCTTTAAATTAGCATGCTGACAGTTTTGTGTAGCTAAGGACACCTGCGAAAGTGTACTAACAGTAATCTTAAGTTATTTTGTCTTCTTTTTGCAGTGCATGAAGGAAGGAGACATTGTTGTCGGAAAAGTAGCTTTCAAGAGACCATTTTGTATCATTGTGACACTGAAAATGCTGGAATTTGGATGTAACAGAGACTTCACTGATCTTGATATACAGGTACATATGTACATGTGTAAGGTTTATTGAGTTATTTTTTTTGTAAAAGAAATACCTCTTAGTCAATGGGTACATGTATGGGGTATGTTATGAGCGGGTCAATGGATGAGTGAGTGAGTGAGAGATGTATACATGTATGTCACACCAATCAGATTGAGGCTATTATAAACAACCAATCAAATTGCTGCTTGTAAAGGTGAATCATGTTTGTGAAGATTTTATCCCAATTATAGAATGGACATCTTTGTTTTTCTATAAACAGAAACAGGTATTCTTGTATTGGCCTTATTCTGACATTTCCAATGCTGCATTTACTGTGCTTNCATAATATATGAAGCACAAGAGATCGTATTTTATCACATTTCCAAATACTGGGAAGAGAGTGGAATAATTTCACAAATTTCAATTTGTTTTGAAATGTGATGTAACATTATCTTCCAATAGTGTTTAATACGTGAGTGTCATATATCTCAAAATATAAAACTGAAAAGAAGAAATAGATGAATTGATGTAATTAGAGATTAGTTATTCCAAAAACCACCATCATGGAGTCGACTCAACCTCTTTTTGTACTAATTTAAACTTGATGAAAAAAGTTTTACAAATTCTGAATTGATACCTTCAGATTCAATTATTAAAGTGGGGTACCTCGTAACTTGGCCATGATGTACTATTCATGTTTAACACCAACTGAAGGCTAATAAAGTGGAAAGTGGCATTGAAATTGTCCTTTATGTTATTCTTATTTGTGGACTTTTTATGCCAACTGTTTTTACTCTTTGTCTTCTACAGGCCCTATGTAAGTTATCTGAATTAGATAGCTCAGAAATATCCAAGGAATACAAAGATCCAACTGATGCTTATGTGGTTGGTGATGTTGTAAGAGGTAATTGAATTGTATCCTTATTGCTCAAGTAAGATTCAGCTCACTCATTTGAGTACTCACATGTTTGAACAATCACTTATTCACTCAGGATTAAATAAGTCTCTCATTCAGCTGTCTTTTGACGGGTGTCTGTTAAATAACACATGACTAGTATGTGGTACATTTGATAACTTATACAAATTGATGTTGTACATTCCATGGTCCTTGAAAATGAACGATTTATTCCATAAACGCAACAAAATTTATAACAATATTCATCTGCTTTTCGACCCGAACGTCCAGCTCACGTTTTTTCGTTTACAACATGTCATCACTCGGACCTAGTCTCCACTCGGTAAATAGGCAACGCGCCTTACACAAAATGAACACAAAATT